TTATGTTTGTCATTTGTGCTTTGCCTTGAAAATACCCTCCTCTGGCATTTCATAAATGAAGGTAATGAAAATGAAAAAGACATGCTTATGCTTCCAAGCATAGTCTCTTCCACATTATTCATATTTCTTATGTCTTATTTGTGATAAGATATAATACAAATTAATCTTCCTTTTGATAAACTTGGAGAGACAAACAAATTGGAGCAGGATACACAGTTCTGGGTAGCAGTTGTGAAGAGGCATAAAGACAGAAGAAATTTAAAATGAAACAGGGTTTAGAAATAATCAAAGAAATAGATTAAAATTCACTAACTTGTTTATTTTGTATATGTTTGCCCTTGATTAATTTTTCACTACGATATCTTGGCTGTTCAATGTATCTTGTTGAGTTTGGCATTAGATTTTATGTAAGGGCAACATCATAAGCTTAGAAATTGAATATTTTGGTTTTAAGAAAATATATAAAGTGCAAGAGGGGAAAAATATTAATTTGCTGTGAAGATTATGTCTCATTTTAAGATGTACTTGTGAAATTTCTTTTGTTAGCTAATAAACAGTGTGACAGAATGAAATTTAGTCTTTCATTTTTATGTTATTCTTCATCAAGTGTGGTAAAAGTCAAATAAAATGGTTAGTTTTCTCATATGTGAGTTCCTTTACATCTTAAAAAGTTGGTGTCATTTTCCAGTACTGAACCTTTGTGAATTTTTATAATATTTTGAAAGAGAAAGAAAATATGGCTTTCACACACTAGATCCTGTCTTTTTCCACTGGAAGATTTTATACCCATCATTGCAGTACAAATTTTTGTTTTTTACAGATTTTACAAAAGTGTGTTCTAAGAGTTACTTGAGTAGTGCAAAGCGCTGGTTCTTGAGAAAAAATAAGATAAAATTGTTGCTATTTGTTTCACAAAGACAACCTGCACAAAATCGTAACAGGACAATCTTTTCAATTTCTAGTTTTACTGGCTTCCTTACCTTCCTGTTAGCTTTCTAACAACATGTAGTCTATTATACCTGGCACAGGCTGCAGACAATGATATATGCAACTGTATGGTTGTGTATGTCGAATGTCACTAAGATGAGAATAAAATAAGCAAGTTTAAACTGAGGACGTGAAAGACATGATGTAATATTTACCTTATTTGAAAAATGCCACATTGTACATGTGTTCTTGATAGTTGTTACCATTGTGCTGCTCTTCATTTAGAGCAGGCAAATTACTCTTTACTTGAAGGCCTTTATTATGGAAACTTTCCTCTGCAGCTGGTGTTGACATTGAAATTCAAATGTAATTGCTGACTGATGTGTAAGGGATGAGTAAGGAATGAAGAGAAAAAAAATTAAACACAGTTCACTAACTCAGTGCCTAGTGTCTTGTTCCATTGTCTAGGATGAAAAAGAAAATAAAAATTATAAATAAATAAATGAATAAAGTCAAAGAACAGAGAAGAAGAACTGAAAGACAAAAAAATCAATGGAGGAACACTCATAGTCAAAATTTAGGCTTTCAGCCAGCCATCAAATTGATTTGATATGGATTAGGTCCAAGGACCAAATACAAAGATGAAGAATGGACTTTCCCCTCGATATAATCCTGGGTAATACTGACTGAGAAATAGAAAAGGAAAATCATCATAATATTTTATTTTTTGAATGACTTAAAAGCATGGGAAATCAGTTCATAGGAATAAATAAATGCAAATTGCTGCAGGATTTTGATTATTTTGGAGATGGCATTTATCTCTAAAGCTGTCAGAACATAACTCACTGTATTTAACTTCATGATGTTTCCTCCTTTAACTTACCTAAGAGTATGTTTGTCTGTTCTTTTAAAGTGAATTTTGTACTCATGGCAATAGCATGCCCACTTGCTTCAGAGCAAATGGCAGCAATGGAAACAAATTAACATTTCTGGTGCTTCAGTCCAGGAATGCAGTGAAGTCAGAGGAGTCATCCAGTGTTTTCATAGAAGGCAGAGCAGAGTCTGCCCTTTTTCTAGGCTGTCCTGAACTATGGAAACTACCAGTACTAGCTTCATTCTCTATGTAGGGCTGATTTCATCTAAACTTGCCTAAAATATTGGTCTCAGCTGATCATATACTGTTGTCTGCTTGGATAAAAAATTGATTTTATGGGAATTCTATCCATTCAAATTCAGGTGTGTAAAAATCTGAAGCTGGTTTTGGAGAGTGTTTTGCTTTGTTTTTCACAGGCTATCTGTCAGGATAGTGCTAATAACATTAGATTAGACACAAAGCTTTTCGGTAGCTAAAATTAACAGTGGTCTATACATCCTTTCATTCCTTATTTCATCTGAGTGCTACATGGCATAAGAGTGTCAGTTATTATTATTTCTGCTTTGACATACTCATGCTATTGTCCTCTATTTACTCTCTAATTTATCCTCTAATTTACTATCTCTATTTACTATATAAACTATCTATTCTATGCCCATAAACCATTGTATAACTTTCAGTTTGCAAATTTTATTGCCAGAATTTTAGAATACATTAAATTCCAATATCGTATTTATTGTAAATGAAATATTGTGCAGAAATGTTTCTATATATGGACAAGATCCACTGCTGAAATGTAACTTCACATTAGCTTGCTCCTTGCAAATGAAAATCATGTGACTAAAAGTCTTATTATTTTGATCCTGTGCATGCCCATGCTTGCACTGTAATTCAGATCATTGGCACACTTTCAAAGAAAACTTCAGGATCATCACTAACTACTGCACTTTTCTAAATTTTCATGCCTCTTTTATACTTCTCTCCAGACTGATTGTTGTTTCCAAAGACTCTTAATCCCTGAGTGCTGCTCAGTTCAGCTGGTGGCGTTCTTGCCCTCCTTACATGGCTAATCAGTTTGGAACAAATGTCTCCTAAAAATGTTTGAGACATTTCACTCACACATGTTGTGCTCAGATTCCTTTTTCTGCTGTTGCTGTTTGTGGCATTTTGCAGTAGGAGATCCATGTGGATGTCCTTCTCAATCACTGTATTTTAATGGAAAACAGGTTTATAAAGTCAAGAACGGAGTATTACAGCCAATGTGTTTCTAGTTCATTATATGGAAAGGAAAAATTGTTATTTGTTGCCTATATTCAGCACTTGCCATCCTTTCTTTGTTGCATTAGGATAGTGAGAAGGGCTTCTGTGTCCTATTAAAGTACTAATCCATGGATTTTCAGTTCACAGACTGTCCTATATATATGTGCCATATATATTTAGCCATAGAATTATGACTCATATTACTGTAATTGTATAACATTTTTTAAAAAAAAGAAATAAAGAAAAAATGAAACACTTATTGACATTAAATATCAATTAAAGTTGCTAATTAAATATGATTTTTTTAAATGAGAGGTAATACTTTTTATTCATTTATGGCTGATCTTACATGTAGAAATTTATGTCACTATGATGTAGTCTATATGATGCTATAAATTTAGAGTTTAGTTCTTTATGTGGCATTACTTTTATATATTGAGGCTGGATTTGCATCTCATTTTAGAAATTTTATCATAGAAAGCATTATGGAAATGCATCTGTGAATGTTCAACACATAGGGTTTCTTCTTTACTTTCACCTTCTTTTCCACTTCCTCCATTTTCAGTCATTTAATTACTCAAACTTCGTGAACTTCCCTCCTTTTTGTTACTGAAAAATACCTACAAGGAGTACAAAGAAATCTGTTTCCATTTGCCAGTATTTGTATGTACCACAAGGGTTTTTTTTCCTCGGGGTCTTGGGTCTCCTTCCCCAACAGACCAGAAGAAATTGGCATAGTAGGCTGAAGTGGCTCAAGGCTGCAGATGGTTAATCTCACTTCAAACTGCTCTGGGACTCTATATCTCCTGAGTTGCGAGGCCTCTTTCTGGCTAATTTTCTGAAGTGATAGCTTTTAAACATTAGTAACTGAGTCCCTTGTTTTGACTTGACATGTTGCTGCCAGCGGAGCCTAACTCAGTGATGTCCACCTGAAAACATCCATTTGATTTAAGGTATTTCTTATAGACTACTGACTTCCAGTTGTCTGACAGTGAAAGTCTGTAGGAGTTAAAGAGTGTAAATTGTAAGTACATGACTTGATGTGGTAATTGTGATGTAACGCAAGGTCTAGACCGTGAATGATAGGCAGCGTGGCTAATGTTTCACATTAGTTGGTTTCAGAAAAACAAATTAATCTTGGTCCTAGTCTTCTGGTCATTTCATTCTAAGCAGCAAGACAAGCAGCAAATGTGTCGCTCTTTGTTTCTAAAATCTGATAACTACAGTACAGGAACAAAAAACAGTAGCACAGTTTGTCCTACAGTTTCCAAGGAAAGAAACAAAACCTGATTAGTTCAGATAAAATCTCCCTACTAATGGTTGAATTGTTCACAGTTTACTTGCTGTCTTCCTAATAAAAACCCTTTGAAAAATTTGAGTGTGATTTTTGTCATTGTTTCCTGTTCCTTTTACTATTTTCTTTTTTCTGAGCATATCCATCCTTATAAAAAATAGAGTGATTTGTAGAGCTATGTAGGTCAGGAGAATGCTGGTCCAGGTTAGGAAGCATTTAAATGAATGTGTTAAGGGAGCACTGCTCTTAGGGGAAGATTTGGTGTATGATTTGCTGCTGTGTGTTGCCTTTACTGAAAAACAATTTCCTAAGCTTTTGTACCTTAATAACATACAGCTATTAAACATTTAATATCTTCAGTCTGTATATTTTCACTGATACGATGTTATTTCAGAAAAAGAAACTAATGATTTTGCAAAAAATAAAACCTTTGCAGCAGAGCAAAACAAACCAAAATCAAACAGCGTGCAGAATTATTTCTACTGTCTGCGCTGGAGACATTTAACTAGGATTGTAACCTTTTAAAAAAGGGGGAAAAAAATAGCCCAGAAGATGAAAATATGAGAGTATGTGTTGTGAATGTGTGGATATCCTGCAGCCAATTCTGTGTCTGGTGAACTAAAATTATCCCTTTTTGCCTTATAGGTTTTTTAAGTACTGGGGACCAAGCTGCAAAAGGCAATTACGGATTGCTTGACCAAATCCAAGCTTTGCGTTGGATTGAAGAAAATATTGGATCTTTTGGAGGAGACCCAAAAAGAGTTACTATTTTTGGATCTGGGGCAGGAGCTTCCTGTGTCAGTCTTCTGACACTCTCTCACTATTCAGAAGGTAAGGAAAGCGTACAGTAATGGAGAAATGATTCTTTTATGATCTTTTGTAAAACAAAGCAAAATAAAACAGAATATATATATATATTTTAAAAATAGCCAAATCAGTAGATAGAATTATACTACATCTGTAATTTTTGTAAAATACCCACTATTTATTGTTCTAGATTTGTATTTGGCATCATAAACATTATTGTCTACCCTCTCAACATGTATTTAGATTATTTCCTTAATTAATAACAACAGAACTCAAACTTACTCAAAAAATTAATGTAACTCCCCACATTTATTGTGAGATCCTACACAGAATTTTTAAGATTTTGGCAGAATGTCTACCCTGAAAACAAACAAACAAACAAACAAAAAACAGCAAAATACAAGGAATGTATGGAACTGGTATCATATACATAATTTTCTCTGAAAGTAACGCTAATATAATAAAATAGGAAGCATTATTTTCAGTGTAGCCCTCATAGATACCTGTTGGTAATACCAACACTGCAAAAAAAAAATTATAATAGAAGACAAAAAATTGCTGTGGTTTCACACTGGTGGGAAACTATGCTCCACTGCGCCACTCTCACTCATACTCCTCAAATGAAGACAGAAAGAAAATGTGATGAAAAAAGCTTATGTGTTGGAATAAGGACAGGGAGATCACTCTCCAATTACCTTCTCAGGCCACACAGACTTATCATAAGTAGACTAATGCAATTTATTGTATTTTGCTAATAACAGGCTAGAGCAGTGAGAAACTAAAAAAACACCTTCCCCTCACCCATCCTATTCTGCCTCCTTCTCCTGAGCAACACAGGAGAATGAGGAATGGAGACTGCAGTCATTTCATAATGCTTCATCCTTGCCGCCCCCCCATGGCCACTCTCAGCCCCTGCTCCATGTGGGTCCCTCCCACAATGCTGTTCTTCCTGAACTAATAACTTTGTAAAAAAAGCCCAATACAGCTAAATATCTATCATATTCATAATACCATGCTACTCCTATCATACAGAAATGTATGGAAGAAAGCTCAGCTCTAGCAAGCCATTGTGGAATGATTGGTGGTAAACACATCCTATTTGGAAGCACATAGAATTATTTGTGACAATTTAGGGTAGTGACACAATGGCATACAGTAAGTAACAGTTGAGTAAGCCCTGCCAAAAACAAGCAGATGGAACAATGGAAAGTCTAACCAATGACATCACTGAAATTTTGTGATATGTGCAGTAAGTTGTTACCACCAAGGGTCTATTGGTCTCAGTCATTTTTCCTTGTAAATGCTTCAAGGTCTTCAAATGCTTTTGTAGCTCTTGCTGTCTTTGGTATTTCAAGAGTTTGAATGCAGAAATCTTGTGTAGAAGAGGCCCAAGCATTTTAATTTAAGTATACAATAGGTCTTTTTACTGACTTTACTAGGAAAAAGGAGATGAGGCAGATCTTCCAGTAAGCTCCGATTGCTTTTCAGTGCTTTGCTGTCACAAAGAAGCTCTTCAGTCCTAGTCTCTGTTTGCTCTGTATATTAATACATCTAAAACAACCACAAGGAACTATTTATTTTTGTCTTATATTCTTCCAAAACGTGCAAACATATTTTAATTCGCCATATAGGTAGTATTTACATACAATCATGCATATTAATTCACCATATAGGTAGTACTACACACAATCATGCGTACATATATATGTATGTATATTCTTTATGTATATACTTCAAGGTGATAAAGAAAAATGTCAGAGGAGAGGGCTTAAGCTTATTAAATTGATTTTAGCAGAGCACATTTTTTTGTATTAAATGATGCATGGCTTCTGTGAAAGAAATGAGAGTGTGTAATTCTCGTTTGACCTTTAAACCACTGAAGAGTGCATTTATGAGAGTCATCGACATGGCAAAGAGGTTATGATTGCTTGTAGCTGCCACCCCTTTACAGAAAAATTTTACAGGACTACCACTGTGCTAAAATCAGGGGACTTCCATTAAAGAAAAAGAAAACTGCATTACAAGCATGAGTTTTATTCTTGAAACAATAATCTGAAACCTTAATTCTTTCTCTATGTGAGCAACAAGAACAAGAGAGGTTTAAATTAATAGCTTATTACAGACACTGTAAAAAGGAAATCGTGAGAAAATTATATGCAAACTGAATTGAAATATAGGAATATGCATTCTTTAGTCAAAAGCATTCGTTGCTTAGTGAAAGCTGCTTTTAATTTTAATTTTAATTTTAATATAATTTGATTTGCATTTAAACAATTTGCACCTGCAGGTTTGTTCCAAAAGGCAATCATACAGAGTGGAACAGCCCTGTCCAGCTGGGCAGTGAACTATCAGCCTGCCAAGTACACTCGGATATTGGCAGATAAAGTCGGCTGCGACATGCTGGATACCACTGATTTGGTTGAATGCCTTCGGAATAAGAACTACAAAGAACTCATTCAACAGACCATCACTCCAGCCACGTACCACATTGCCTTTGGCCCTGTGATAGATGGAGATGTGATTCCAGATGACCCTCAGATTCTCATGGAGCAAGGCGAATTCCTTAACTATGATATAATGCTGGGTGTAAATCAAGGCGAAGGTTTAAAATTTGTGGATGGCATTGTAGACAATGAAGATGGTGTTTCTCCCAATGATTTTGACTTTTCTGTCTCCAATTTTGTGGACAATCTATATGGTTATCCAGAAGGAAAAGATACACTCCGAGAGACCATTAAATTCATGTATACGGACTGGGCAGACAAGGAAAACCCTGAAACAAGACGAAAGACCCTGGTAGCACTTTTTACTGACCACCAGTGGGTTGCTCCTGCTGTTGCCACTGCTGATCTGCATGCTCAGTATGGATCTCCAACGTATTTCTATGCATTTTATCACCACTGCCAAAGTGAAATGAAACCAAGCTGGGCTGATTCAGCTCATGGTGATGAAGTCCCGTATGTGTTTGGCATTCCTATGATTGGCCCAACAGAATTGTTCAACTGTAACTTTTCCAAGAATGATGTCATGCTCAGTGCAGTTGTTATGACATACTGGACAAACTTCGCCAAAACTGGGTAAGTTTGACCTCTAGCATTCCTTCTTGTTGATAACACGCTCCTAAAATAGTCAAATTACCATAGCAGTGGCTCCAAGCCTGTATTGTGACTTACGATTATAGCACTGTTTAGTATGTGTGAGGCACTATGTAACTGCGGCTTATTCATATTTAATAGATTTTTAATTAGTGTGTTCCTGCAAACTATTTTCTTTCAGTAGCTCAGTGAGAAGAATAATGCACTGTATTTTTGATTCAGAAATAGGGCAATTATTAAGAAAAAGCCTTTTTTAGAGAAAAAGCAGTTCACTAAGATACTGAAAAATCAGAGGAAATGTATTCTACCAGAAGAAAGAACAGTCAGGCAGATAGAGCTTATGTCTCAGAAAAGTAAGAAAGTTGTTTTCTTTTTAGTGACCTTCATAGGAATGGGAGCTCAGAGAAAAACTGAATCAGAAAGGCAGACACTAGAAAGATATTTTTTTTCCGTCTGTAGGCTGTAATGGCCATGATGAATAGTGGGATGGGATGAAGAAAAGACTCAGATATAAATTTTGCTTTGAGGTTAAAAATTCAAGTTAATTCTGCTTACAAAATAATACATCAATATTTTGCGGAAAAAGAATTATAGACATGAAGGAAAAAACCCCCAGAGCAGCTTAATATGTGAGTGCTATTAATAATTTCTCTGTTTTCTGTATCATTCCTCTAAATATTATTCTGGTATTTTACATGTACAGCAAGGACTTTTTTGTTGACCTTGAGTCTTCAGTACTGAACAAAGATACTTATGGCACAACGGTGCTGTAAATCTTCCCATGCTTAGTGGCAGGATTGGACTCTGAAAATCACAGCTTTACTGCAGTGCAGTTAGTAATATGCAGCGTTATAAGAAAAATTCAAAGACGCCCATTGTGAAACTTACAGTTCTTAGCAACCTTTAACATATCAAGATGATGTTCAAGGCAGAGACTTTTTGCAGTCATAACAAAAACCTTGATATTAATTAAAACACAATCCAATATTTCAGCTCACTTTACAAAGCAAAAGAAAACTTAGGTGCCTTCTAGACAAGCAGGTACTTTTGAATGCAGAAATCCCATAGCACTGAAGCAAAAGCAAATGAACTGTGAAATATTTAGATGTATGTGGAAACAATAAGACATCAGTTGGATGATTGGGGTAGACAAACTGGTGAAAGCTTGGCTTATGGACAAATAATGCCACATGTTGACTGTAGTGCACATTCAAAGAGTATTTTATCATGATTTTGTTTTTGTATGAATTAAGTGTCATGTGTACGTAGAGGACATGAGGTTCTTGCAAATGTGCAAGATTGGAATTATTACAGAGATCTCCACATTCCCACTGTTAGTAGCAGTTTCTTTTATGATTATTCCCTGTACAGTAAGTTGCATCTAAACAATTTTTAGGAAGTTTCTTTCAGCCTCAACTGCCACTATTACTCATAGTTGCAAGCAGTTTGCAGCTGTTTCTACTTGAAAGCTAATTTCAGCAAGCTACACTTAACCATCACCCAGTTATGAACCCATGTGTTAGCCTTTTCAAAACCTTGTTTCTAGCTTAGCCTAGACATAGGGAAGTAATTTGTTACAGAGCAGGAGAGACAAACTAGATTTGGGATATAAAAATTGCATGAATATATGGCTTTTGATTCCACTGTGTGGAAAATTATATGTGAGAGCTTCATTAAGAGGTGCACTTAAAGCTTCAGTCCACTGTCAGTAGTACTATCCTAACAGAAATTGTAATTTTATATGCACAAATGTTCTGTCAGTTAGGGCCATGTGTTATACTGCTCGCAGATACATCAGCAGAGGGAGCGGGGATGATGTGAGGGGATGTGTGCCAGCCCTTAATGGATACTCTGAAAGTGACACTCTTGTGAAGAAGGGTTTGCAGTTTCACAAAGTGGATATGAAACTATGTTCTCAGAAACATTTATCAGGTTTCTAAAAATTACCCTCTTTTGAGTAGTTAAAGTACTCTGAGTCTTTGTCCACACTTATCCATCTCTTCTCAAGCCAGCTGTGGGAAAGATATACGTGTAAAGAACAAATCCCGAATTTCTTTGTAATTCAGAGGAATACTCCTGAATTATTTTATTGTCACTGAAGCAAAATGTTAACTGAGTTATTAAGGATATCAGTTCAGTTTGCCTTTTTAAAGGAAGACATAATTAAACTTACAAAGAGTAAATGTATTTTCAAATCAATCTTCTTTGAACTCCTTTACGAACTTTGCATTTCTTTTGATGTTTTTCTCCGAAGGAATAACGGTTTTCAATAGCGAGTCTGTTGGTCAGATGAAACAGAGTATTTATGCATTGCTTTCCTCAGTAGCTCATAGCTGATTGGAAGTATGGCAACAGTGGGAACAGGTAAAAGTGAGGGAAGGAAATATAGGCAAAACCATGATTGTGTAGCAGTGTTTCAGGGAGGAATGGCAATCTCAATAATAATAATGAGAGATTACTTAAAAAATCAAGGAAAGTGTGAAGAAACTCTACAGAGTTTTTTGTTTTTTTTTTTTTTCTTTTTTTTTTTAAAGTATGTATTAAAGAAGACTGCTTAAGGAAAATAAATTACCAGTAGGCCTTTCAGTGGTTTGGAAGCAGACTCATTGTGTAACTGTCAGGACATTTTACTCTCTGATGAAGTAAAAAAATGACACCAAAAATGAAATGCATTAATTTAACAATTCCATTATGGTGACTAATAGTTAATGCTCTTGCAAAATTACATAAAAGAAAAATGTCATTTCAACATGCTATTTGGAATTCTGGATAAGAGAAAATTTCCTAACATTTCTCAAAATTCTTCTGGTGAAACAGAAGACTCTATGAAATAGAGTTCCCTCATTTGCCCTATGGGTCACCTACTAATTCTTGTGAACAGGAATGTGTGCTACTCTTCAGTCAGCATTTATTGCAGACACATTTACTTCATAGCACTTGAGAAAAAAAATGTACATTTGTAACCCAAAAGGTGAGAATTTAATGACAATAAACTGCAACATATAAAATTGAGCAAAGCAGTGCAGGTTGAAAGTGGGAAAAAGAAAGTGATAGGTGAAGTCAGATGATTTTGCATTTTAATAAAAAATGTAAGATAAGAAAGATTGTCATGTATATTTAAGACAAGTTCATGCATTTTCATGACAGGAACATTTTCAGGGGTAGAATCTGTTTAATCTGAACTCTATAAATTATGAAAAAAAATCATCAGAGGAAAATAAGAGCAACAACAAACATTATTTTTATTCTAGCAATAGGATAAATAAAGAATTACAAACAAAAAATCCTGACAAAAAATATTCCTCCCTATCAACCAGTGAGATTGGGAACCAAGCTATGCACTGTGAGATTTGTTACATGAAAAAGTATAGAACTGAAAAACTATTCAGATTGTATTTTTATCATCATAATTAGAACGTGTTTTTAAAGGAAAATCTTCTGTCTCCTTTTGTTCTGTAACTACACACTGGAACCACATGAGAGTCCAGAAACACCAAATTGACGTGAGAGGCTAAAAAAAAGGAAAACAGAAGTTATAGTTAATGTAGCAGATCAAAAGTTTTTTGAACAGCTAGTTGTATAGGAGAAAAGACAGTATCTACATAGGTCCCTCCAAAAGTAATGCCTCTTGTTTATTTCAATGGAAATTACAACAGATGCAAAGAGCACGGTAACACTAGCAAATTCTCAGCTACAAAACACTCTTTTTCAACATAGTCACCACTCTGAGTAATGTGATGAGCTGATTGAGATGCTGTTCGTTTTGTAGCATGACAGTTGTGCTTGACCATCCAGAACACGGCTTGCCTTTCACACTGCTATCCCCATGGCTGAAATGTACCACCCACCGTTTCACTGTGTTCACATCCACTGTTTGGTCTCCAGAAACATTCAGTAAGTGTCAATGAGTGTCTATTTGTATCATTTTTTCTGCATGGAGGAATTCAATGACACGCCATGTCAGAAGCCATTCTGTCAGACTGTCCCACTGCTGCCATACCACCATCATCTACTACTGATATTTTGAGCCAATATGATAAAATAAAAGGCATTACTTTTGGAGCAGGCTTTGTACATCTATATTTTATGGCTATCCACAATACTGGAAACGTGTTTTTTTTTTAATAGGATACTGGAAAAAAATATTTATAAGATAAACTGTTTAACATCACCAGGAAAGGACTCATCATGTCATAACTTGTAAAGTTATGATGTTATGAAATATCACCAGTGAGCATAGGAGGGACAAAATAAAAATTTTCTTATTTACATCCACAGGATGATTGTGGTAAGTTATATTACTGTGTATTAGATCCTTTAGCTAGAACTATATTTAGTCATTTTCTTATGAAAAAATTATTTAGGTGCCTATCTTCCAAGTTCAGTTACACAATATTAAGACCATCTACTCAATTATTGATTAACCCTAGACTTGATGGCAACAATGCAGTTTAGTATCAACTCACATGCAGTCGTGTTTACGACTGACTGCTTTTTTTTTTCTGTTCATTGTTTTATTGGGGTATTTCATGCTAATATATGGCCATGTAAACAAATCCCAGTATATAAGACTAGTCTCATGTATCTGTAGCTTCTCCTCTTGTGCTTGGAGGAGGAGTCAGTATAAATCAGTATTCCTAATAGACAGTTAAAAAGGAGACATGGAGTTACCAAATACAGCAAGAAAGAAAAGAAAGGTTAATATTCATATATTCATAGGCTGTTTCTAGAGGAAGAATTTTCATTTCAGAAAGTTACTTGCTAAAATCATTGTCTGCATCATTTGTATATGGACACTAAAAAAAAGTCTAAATATTTTGGTAATTTCTGTTTTGATAAAGTTCAATTTCCTTTTACTTTCAGGGAGTCCTAGATTCTTCCTTCCTCTTTCTTAAACTATTCATGAGAAGAGGGAAGGGATTAGAAACAAAGTATAGTTAGCTGAACTACTGAACTTCTTCATCTCCTCTACTATGAATGAAGTTCAACTCATTTACATGAGCTAGTTTAATTTACGTCTTATGTAGGATCCTTTCCAGAGTCTGTGAGTCTGAGTGTCTGTTCTGAATCAGAACAGCAAGAGGAAAGAACACAAGGGGCGTTTTAGCTGTAACTCTTCCAGAATTTTGAGTGTCTGAAAGAAAAATGCTTTGCATTTTAATAATCATGTTGATTTTTTGTTTGTTTTAGAATTTATGTGTTGAGCCCAAATGCACTGAGGCAGATATATTGTGCTGGGCCAATATCTTCCCTTTTGAATTTGCTAAATCCTTCACTGTGCTATTTGAGAATAGAAGAAATACTTTCATTTCCTTCCTCAATGCATGTTAGAATCCTTCAAAGTATGAGCATATTAAAATCCAATGCCTCAGTACTTGGAAACTGATTTTTTTTTCAAGCTTCAGCCATAGTGAATAATTAATAAAAAATTACTATTTTCAGAATTTACAGAATTTATATAAAATAATAATAATAAAAAATAGCTACCATTCTTGAACTTTTAGTTTATATCCTATTGAGATGGGAAATACTTTATCCAGTATAATATGGAAACCCACATACATAAACAAAACAAAGTACTTAAATTACACAGAAAATGAATTATTTCTTCAGCTTGAAAAAGGAAAAAATATTTCAGGTAAACAGAGGAATGAAAGAATCATAAGATTATTAAAACCAAATTACCAGTCCATTTTGAGAACGGTTAAGGAATAGGTATTTACAAACAACAAAGGAGCACTAAATTTGGCAATGAGCCTTTGGAAACAGAAATGAAAAAAAAAAAAAATAATAAAAAAAAAGCTTTAAAATATGTAACAGTAGTTTTTCATATTCCCATAACATTCATAACAGTATATTGGAAGAAAAGGAAAATATTAGAATCATTTTCACTGGAAATAAACTAATGCATATGGGAATGGAAAGGAGAATGGAAAGTTTTCAGAGCAAGGCACAGAAAATAAATCATACGCTCTCAGTAAAATATATCACAAAGTCTCTGAAAATATGCTTTACGGCTACAGAGGATTAAAACTAATGTAGGTCATAATAGTAAACTAATAGATTTATTTTAAACTCTTTATTTGTTGATGCCCAGAGGAAGTTATATTTATCTAAGTAAGGCTTGCCAAAATTATAAGGGTATGTGTATGTTAACCACATTTAAATACCTATTATGTTACAGACTTGTCTTTATTTTGAATCTTTATGAAAGAAATAAATGAGAAGAAAAGATAGAAGATACATAATTGCAGTAAAATATTTGGGTTAAGTTCAGTAAAAAAGGATAATAACATTTTTTTGAATTCAATTATTTAATTGCAATTGTTTTTAAATGCCATTACTTAGTTAACTAATATAAAACTTGTCAGCTAATGTAGGTCTTATCCATAGGAGCTGGGACAAAACTACAGCTTCTAAACTCATATATAGTTCCTTGTGTACTGAACACTTAATGCAAAATGCAAATTATGGACTGATTTGTGGCAGAAAAATAGTTCAAAGTCTTATCCCAAAGTAGATATCTGAACAAAGGGGTATTAATAGCTCAGTAAAGGAACACAGGGACATGTTGTACCCAAATACCTGTATTAGCCCTGATACTTGTGTTTTGAAGCTCTGTGTAAGACACATTCATTATAAACTTTCATGATTGCATGTATTTTCAACATTTTCATAGAGATTAGATGCTTAAATACAGCAGTGGAAGTAGTAGTATAGTAACTGAGAATGTTGATGTCAAATCTTGAGAAGAACTGAGCCTAAACCTTTACAAACTATGGGAGAAGATAATTAATACTTCTCTAAGACTACTTTAGTGTATGTGACTGCCTCACAAAACTCCAGATGAGCTTTTGATAACTGAAACACATCCTTTCTTTTTTTTCATTCAAGAAAGAATTGTTGTATCTTAGATACATTGTACTGTAAGTATTTAGACTTTTGTTTACATAATAACGTGTAGTGTAAATGTTGGGAAATTTTCCAAGCTTCTCTTTTTGGGTTAAGTGGAGGATTAACCCTTAACTAAGGAACAGAATTTTGTTATTGTTGTTGCTGCTCTAAAATGACTATAACATTGCTTTTTATTTTTGTAGAGATCCAAACCAGCCTGTTCCACAAGACACAAAGTTCATCCACACAAAACCAAACCGCTTTGAAGAAGTAGCCTGGTCCAAATACAATCCTAAAGATCAGCTTTATCTGCATATTGGCCTGAAACCACGAGTTCGTGATCACTACCGAGCAACAAAAGTTGCTTTCTGGTTGGAGCTTGTGCCACACCTTCACAACCTGAATGAAATTTTTCAATATGTTTCCACAACAACTAAAGTACCCCCTCCTGACATGACATCATTTCCTTATGTCACCCGACGCTCTCCTGGTAAATTGTGGCCAGCCACCAAACGCCCAGCAATGACACCTGCCAACAATCCCAAACATTCAAAAGACACTCATAAAACAGCTCCCGAGGATACAACAGTTCTGATAGAAAACAAGAGAGATTACTCTACTGAGCTGAGCGTCACCATTGCTGTGGGAGCATCCTTGCTGTTCCTCAATATTTTAGCATTTGCTGCATTATATTACAAGAAAGACAAGCGGCGTCACGAGACTCACAGGCGCCCTAGCCCCCAGAGGAACACAACCAATGATATCGCACACATACAAAATGAAGAGATCATGTCATTGCAGATGAAACAGCTGGAACATGACCATGAGTGTGAATCACTGCAGGCCCATGACACGCTGAGACTAACCTGTCCACCTGACTACACGCTTACTTTGAGAAGGTCTCCAGACGACATTCCACTCATGACTCCCAACACCATAACCATGATCCCAAATACATTAACAGGAATGCAGCCTTTGCATACTTTCAACACCTTCAGTGGAGGACAAAACAGTACGAATTTGCCCCATGGACATTCAACTACTAGGGTATAGCTCAGCCCTTCCCCCTCACAAGCCACCTGGAAGAAAGAGAAAAAAAAAAAAAAAAAAGAAAAGAAGAGGAAAAAGTTATAATACCATTCATTGAACACCTTGTCCAAATCTTAAGTAAAAACAAGTAAAAGAGAAGGACAGACATTATTTTCTTACTGTTCCTTCCCAAAGAAACTCTCTGATGTTAAAGATCAACTATAAACCCTGTGAAATGTGAAAAGTGTATATTGCTGTTACAATACTGCTTTAAGATCTCAACCCCTTTAATTGAAAGTTGAGGCCAGAAGAAGTCACTTAAAATGATGTTTTGAGCATATCGAGCAAAGCAGACTCTTCTGGAACACAGAGCCACTGACTGTACAGATGTTTTGGTTTTGGTTTTTTGGTTTTGGTTTTGTCTTTGGTTTTGGTTTTGTTTTTTTTGTTTGGTTTCTTTTTAATAAATAAAAAAAATCTTTATGTGCCATACGATGAATGGCCCTTGTTGAAACAAAGACATCATCATGGGCTTTTACCCAGCATATGAAGCTGTAATCCAGATGGGGGAAATAGAATTTTATTATTAATAACAAAAATGGAAAAAAAAAAAAAAGAGGAGGACTGACTATGCAGTAAAATACGTATAGTTCTGTGCACAGAGGTGACTTGCCAGCCTGAACTATATTTAAAGAAACTTTGTAAAAATGTACATAGATGTGCGTTTAAAAACAACTACAAAAAAAAAAAAAAAAAAAAAAAAAAAAGCTTTTATTGATGTTTTCAGTTTGAAAAGAGCTTTTAGAAAGGTTGTGCATTCAGTTGTGACCTATGTGTATATACATTAGTCATATCACCTCTCTTTCCTCCAAGGCCAAAGGAGGATTTTCTTCTTAATTACTAGTGGTAAACAAAAGACATGAGGTTTTTCTAACATTTCATTTATATGAGGCCATGGTGTCATGCAGAGGATAAAGTTGTCTGTGTGACCTGCATATTTTCTCTTACAGGTTACACTAGTGCATGTTAAAGTATTCATAGGAGATTGCTGTTCTTTTCTGAAACATTTTTTTTTTAATAATTTAATTTTGTGTTAGCTTTTGTTAAATTGCAACACAGCAATGGATATGAAAATGGAAAATAATACAAAACAAACAAACAAACAAAAAACAATTACTATATCATAAGCTTATTGAATGAAGAGACATCCAGTAGTATATGTTCAAAAGTCCAGTTTGTAGTTCTTGGTTATTGAGATAAATGAGGAAGAGTCTCGTGCCCTGACAATAGCAACAAAAGACCCTGTTTATGTTAGCATTTTCTGAGCAAACATAGCTCTATATTCACCAGCAGTTGCAGAGGGATCTCAGATGAGAAAATACCTCCTCAGCTTTGCTAAACTAAAGAAAAAGTGAAATTTGAAAGAACTTCTCTGCCCAGTATTCTGTTTTGCACTTGAGGAAAGAATTTCCTGTCAGAACATACTTTGCTGCTTTATTACACAGCAGTGCCATTGTTAATGAAAATTACGGAAATAGAAGCAAAGTCATCAGATGTTATGCATCTGAATGTAATTTCAAATTCTAGATAATATTATTGTCAGGAAAGTCAAAACTCCTGGCTGATTATTCCCTTCTTCACCTGGAAGAGCCTTGCAGTGCTATCAAACAAGGAACTTAGCAATTTGATTCAAACAACTGAATTGAATGTGAAAAGCTAAAAATAAGTTCTCGCAGATGAAGATTGCTTTGCATTTTGTCTTAGAAATTTACTGCGTCATCAAGAGATCGTAACCAAAGATATTTGAACAAAATTGGTCTGCACTTGAACATGGTTATCCCAGAGGTATTTTGTATTATAAATTCATGACTAAGCTGCATCAATACCATATGTCCCATAGTAATCTAACACAGGATGCCTTGTACCTCTTTTTGTTTTCAATACTTCTTCTTTCTTTTTTTTTTTCTTTTTTTTTTTTTTTTAATAAGACATCTTGGAATAGTCCTTCTGGTGAATAAAGGTGACAAAATGATTCACTGAAGTCAATACAACTCCTTGTTATAGCATGCAGTAAAGCAGATTCTGAAGGAAAGAAATAAAAGGAAAGTTAATTATTCAACAAAAAATACAACATGTGGCTGATATAATCCCTTACCTGTAATAAATGTACCATTACCTGACCTGGATGCTCAGGTTGGAATACGATGAAGTAACAAGCCCAAAGTACAAGTCGTAGCAAATGGAAAACTGCCTTTTTCACTGATCCATCACATAATATTGATTAATGCTTACTCTAGACCCATTCCATTTCCACCACCTATGTGATGCCTCAGCTGAGATGAAGCAGTTCATATCTCTTAAAATAATAATATAAAAAAAAGAAAAAAAAAAAAGAAAAAAAAGAAAAGAAAATAGTTAAAAAAAAAAGAAAAAAGAAAAAAGGTATTGATGCTTGGCATCATAATCAGTTGGGTATGTTTGTAATGTGAATTACAGTATTTGTTTAGTACTTCCAATTGTCTTCTGCTAGCAATATGTACAGTACTGTGTCAGGCTTGTGACATTTGGGTTAAAAAAAAAAAGTTCCTGTAAGTGAATGATTTTAGCTTTTAAAAGTAATTGCAATCAAGTTGATTTAATAATTCAGTACATCTGGATTGACATATGATTTATAGAGGGAACAGATTTATAGGGTCTTATTAGAATTCTATAATAATAATAACAAAATATACTTTGAAAACTGTAAAAGAAAAACAAAAGTACTTTCCCAGGCTTATATTCTTGACCTTACAAGGCACGCAGGGTTTAATGGTTTCTTCTGTTATTGTTTTGCGATCTTTTGTTTTTTTGCCTTAAGTAATGATAGAAGATATATATGGCTGGACACATATGTATAAACTTTTCAGCAGCATTTTTAATAATAAATATCACAGTATTTTCTAATGCTTTGTGCAAAGAACTACGTGTTCATCCTTTTTTTTTTATAGAAAGTCTTTCAGGCGTACATTTTCTGCCCCATCTCCACTTCATTATCTTATGTAAATGATGCCTTGATACACAATACACGAATATTAAAATACCAGAGGTCACACCATTAAGTTAGCACTGAGCTTTTGTGGCTTTTCTAGTTCTATAAAGCTACCAATAAAAGGAAAGAAAGTAAGACAATGAAGACATGAGAATAAACTCCTTATATTTATTATCTGTATGCATCTGTATCCCATCAAAGCAATGGTTTAATTGTTCTTTTAGTATTCCCTGTAGCACTGAAAAAGAGCTTAGGTAAGCAGCTTCCCCCTATTAACGTGTAGCTTAGCAGCTGAGAAATATATCTTCCAAACTAAGGTTAAAAGCGATTCAGAAAATCTAATACATCCAGCCTCCACAAGTAAATATACTTTCACTTCATATTTAAAATTCAGGTAAACGACAAGTTTTCTAAGAAAAATATGTAGGAGTGGCAATATAAGTTACTCTTATATGTGGAGGGGATTTACATATATTGCAGATATGTTAAGATCATTCTTCCTTCAAAAGTTCAGTGAGCAAATATAGTTTGTTCTTTTATGCTGTTAAATTCATTTTGTCACTCAGATTTCCCTCCACTGAAAAGGTATATAGACATTTTAGTAATTTTGGCTGGATATTGTTTGCTTTCTGTAATTATTCTATTGAGTGGAGGTACTAACAATAAGGTTTGATGAACTTTGAGTGTATTATTGAAGAGTATTTGCAAAAAGCAAATTCTGAATGATTCATATCAGATTTTTGATATGAAAACCAAGCTTCTGAGATAGAAACATATTATGTGCCTACTGACTTAATCAAGCAGCTTGAATTTTGAATATTCAATTTGTATATAAAGCTTTTGCAAATAAACTGCAGATTTAGAATTGTTCAGAAAATATGTTTAATTACAGGTAAACTGAAATTTCACAGCTTGCTTAGAGATAGATAATTCATACACAAGAAAAGAGGCTATAATTGTGTCATTTCTGTGAGCATTCACCTTAAATTACTGGGTGAACTCAATAAATAACCTTTTTTGCAGTTATGGATTTCACATTAAAAAAAAAGCTTCAGAAGTTTCTTGCTAATTAAATATTGTGTTGTTTTCATTCTTTGCTGTCTGACATATAAATCTGCAGATTAGTATGTTTCTATTTGCACTTAGAAGTATGATAATTAAATAGCATTTTATATCACATAGAAATTGTACAAGAGAATACAATGATAATTTTGTGCTTGTCTCAAATTTGTAGATATACATCTGTATTATTTAATTAGTGTCAACTGTTTCTCATATTTTTGTCTACAGCTGTTTGACATCACAAATCTCATCAGCCTGAATCTCTCCAGAGGCCATTAGCAGCTGGTAAAACTGGGATTTTCATCCCACTAGAAATTATGATATTATGCATTTAATATCGTAATGTTTAAAAATATTTCTCATCACCTCAAAATAAGTAAGATATTGACCTTTTATTGAAGCAAATGAAAAATAAGAGAGGGATTTGGAAATGTTTAAATAACTTGCTTGAGCTGTAGTGTAATAAACAACATATCACTTTGAGTTGCAGTTTTGATTCAAAATATTTTGTTTGTTGTTCAGCTATGGCCACCAAGGCTGTCACTCTGTTAGTTATGTTTTTGAAAGTTATGCTTTCATTTTTTTATGGCCCTCTCAGACTAGTTTATCCAAAAACCCAGCTCACACAGGAGTGACATATGTAGGTTCCTCCAAAAGTAATGCCTCCACCATTAGCTATGTGTTTTCTCCAATGATTAAAAATCTGTGCAGCCATTTGGAACACGTCTTTCACATCACTGTCACCATTGCTGAAATGTACACTTCACTGTGCTCACATCCACTGTTTGGTCTCCACAAACATTTGGCAAGTGTCAATGAGTATTAGTGGGTGGGTTTTTCTTCATGGAGGAATTCAGTTCTATACTTTTCCTTCATCCACACTTCTATGTTGGACACCATGTTGTCGGACTGCCCCTTTACTGTCACAACACCAACATTTGCCTCTGATATCATGGGCCACCATAATAAAATAGGAGGCATTACTTTTGGAGCTGCCCTCATTGTTGCAATCCAATCACAAAATCCAGATCAGACAAAGAGTTTTGTCAGAAGCCAAATGAACTGCATAGGTAATTAATGAGAATATACATTAGTACTGCAATAACTGAAATGTAGAATAAGCATGTAATAAATTAGCTACATTTGATGTTTTTCAATTGAAAATTGACAGATGTTTACAATATGTACATTTTCCCAGCTTTATTTTCTGCCCCTTTCCCACAAAAAATAACAAGATATTTCCAGCCAGTTCTAGTCATTTCTTGAATATTCACTTAGGTAAATGAGAAACAAAACAGATGACATCTTTTTGTTTCCTACTCTCGGGTACTGAAAGCATAATTTTTTTTTTTCCATTCCTACCTCTTATCAGGAATTAGAGTTTATCTAGATGCTTCAGGGTAGTCCCATTACCCAAATTCCTAGTTTAATAGTAAAGGAAATCCAGACTTAGAACAGACTTATCCTTAGGCTAGCAAGTAGTTATCTTTCTCCCCCACTGCCAAAACATGGCACAAAAAAATACTGTGAACTTTAAATATGCTTTATTTTAAAGCAATATCTAATTTCTAGAGACCTTGTCATGTCTCATGTCATGCTTTTATCTGTACCAACTCACAGTACTTACTCATCATTTTGTATGTCTTATCTCTATTTCATCTAGTTTCCCTAAGTGATAAAGATGAATTTCTATGCTTTATTTGGTTGTTTGTTGTTTTTGTTTTTGTTTGCTGTCACAACAGTTATGTTTAACCCCAGATGTGTTCTCTGCTGCATGACTGAGGGAGCATTTTTCATCTGTCATTTTCCTTGCAGTTTTTAGTGCCCAGAATGTTCCTCTAAAGAAATATTTACATAACAGTATTTACATAACAATTTGTAATCCTCATGCCTTCATCTCTATGCTGCCTGCACTTTGTGCCAGTCCAACAGTTGTAGTTTGACTTGGTGCTTGTCTTAGTGGGAAGTGTCAGCTTTGAGCCGGGTTCTCTTGTTACTCTGCTATCATTCACTGTCAGTATTTGTTTCTTTTCTCTATTGTTTGTGAATCAAAGATAAGCTAAGTTAGTCCATCGTGATATTGCACACCAAGTTTTCTCAAATACTAATATGTCATTATTCATAATTTTAATTCTTGTTTAGGTACACGATTTAAATTGTGCTGTATCATTAAAACAACAACAGCAAAAATAATCTAAAACATTTGCTTTTCTTAAACCTTTTACAAAAGGTCTGTCATCAGAGCAAACTAATAGATGCCTGGCACAGCTAGCCTTTAATGACAGGAATTTATGGTATATTTGTGCATTGGCTCCCACCTAATAAAGATATTTCTTTCTAATATCTACAGAAATAAATATAATTACCAGTTTCATGCTTAAAAATGATATTACATTGTATCAAAAATGTTTAAACAACAGTTAAGTCAAAGCTCACAGAAGCTTTAGATACTGAGGATCACACTCTAGTTTCCTGCACTGGTGGTTATTTTGTAAAAGCAACAAGCTGAATTTGATGGAGAGTTGTTGCAGAGTGCTTTCTACACTTCAGTTACTGTATACCCCACTTCAGAAACTAGAATGGAATTTGCACGTTTCAGGATACTGACAAAGCATTTTTAATGGAGTTTGTACTTTCAAGAGTCCCTAAAAGCAGTAGCAAAGAAACTGAAGGGATAAGAGTGTAAAATAAATAGGAATTAGATATGCATGTTTTCTTTGACAGGCAGAAATACCAAATGATATGATATAGTGAGATATGAAGTTAATGTGACAGATTTCTATGTAGATTGATCAACAGAAGAAAAAAAAACAAATTTGCAAAGGATAGATTTTTACAGGGACTAGTCAAATGAAATCAGTAGAGATAATTAGTTTATAATGGGATTTTGAAAAAAGGCATTGTGTCATAACGCTATATCATATGGGTTTAGATTTGAATATAATCTACAGTACTCCTCTGGGTATTGAGAAATACAAAATTAGATCCCAAGATGCCCTAGTTTTTCCAGAATATAGTGCTGCTATGGTAGAAAATACAGCAAAGTGAAATGTGTTCTTGTGTTTGTAAATGACTAAAGAAACTTTCAAATCATTTAATTCCAAGAAAGACAAGGTGCCAAACTTGATAAATAGGGAATAATGAAAATAGAAATGAGGCACACGTCCCATCTGGAGATGCATCTTGTATGTAGAGGCCAGGAATAATGCTCAAAATCTGCTTTCCTGATGCAGAGGAGTGGAAAAGGAAGGTCCCTAGAACTGTGTTCCTAGATGCTGTGTTCCAGTAACCACTGGCCCTTAAGACATAAGAAATGGTATTTGTCAGAGTTGCTTGGATCTTGGGATCTAAATGCAGATCAGGTGAACATGCATATAGTTAAAATATTTTATTTCATTTGCAACAGCTCCATAAATTACTGCTTCAATAAACAGTAAGTACAAAGATACTTACCTTTTCTTGCTGAGTCTATGGATATAAATATATGCCAAGGACACATGGAATAACAGCCAGCAGCTCTCAAACCTGCAGCACATAACTAAAGACAACCAAATGCTCTAATTGCTGGAGCTTTGGGTAGCTGACAGTTCTATCAGGCATCAAATATTCTTCGTCTCCTGTTACCAATACACCATCTAGAACTTGTGTGTAAAGTTTTTTTTTGTGGAGGACAGTTAGTTCCTATTGAAGGCTGTCATCTATCTAGGGACCAGTACAGATTAAAATATGATAAGATATATTGCTAACTGTGCTCACATAGCTGGTTTACAAACATTTTTCTTGGCACTCAGCAGTTTACTAAGACATGGACAGTAAGAAATGTAAAAATCTTTTCAATAAGGATCTTGTGAAG